CCAAGCTCTCTGATATGGCGTCCAGGAGTTTTAACTCGGAGCCACAAGCCTGCCCTAGGATGGTTTTTAAGAGCCTTTACCTGCATTTACCAATAGGAGTACTGCCTGGGGTGGGAGAGACTGCTGACTGATGGAGGATGCCAGAGAGGGAGCAACTTAAAGGAGTGACGTCACAAGAAATCAGGGATGGTGCTGGAGCTGCTGTCTTCACACATCTGGTGATGGAAAAGGAAGACACTCCCCTGGTTAACTTCTGTTTTCACAACTGGTGGGCTGTGCTGAGTGCATGGCTGAGGTTTGTGGTGAGGCATTTAAATTGTGTGGTTGTGGGATTGACTTCTCTGTCAACATAGTTCATCTAGTACAGCGAGATGCACACAGCTGGGTTCAAATGTGTCCGCGGCTGCTCCAGCCAGGCATGACGGAGAGACTGAAGCAGGGGGTGTTGCAAGGGAGGAAAAGTCCACGGACTCCTTGCTGGGTGAGTGGGGAGCAAAGATGGGAGGGAGGGACATGAAGGGGAAGGCAGTGGGCCAAATACTGGAGGTCTCTGAGATGGAGGACTACTGGAGTACAGGGAGATCAGAGTGGGATGCTGAGAACTTTGGTTACAGAAATTCCTATCCGAAATTCACATCTTAGGCTGCCACAGTTGGAGGGGTGCCCATGCAGATAGTGGGTGGCACAGTGACAGGAACAAGTGACTTCATGCAGGACAAGGAGTGACCTCTGCCACAGCCCAGGCAGACCCTGGGATTTCAGCAGGGACAGGGATCTCACAAAGCTAACCCTGGAACACTTCAAATACTCACATTCGCCCAAGGGCACATTGCAGCCAAAAAAATACCACCAGTGTAGCAGCATTCCAGTCACACTTCACCTTAATAAAAAACCTGCACTACTCAGGTTACTACTGTCCGCATTATTAAATCCGTATGTGAATGGGTATGACTCATAGATTCCCTGAACTTGTATTTTATCTTCAAACAATACTTTGCAATCATTACCCCTATTCAGAAACACACCCTCCAAATGTCCTGAGCAACTGTGACAAAATGGGAGCAACCCTCAAGGTCCCCTCTCAGGAGGAGACAGAAATCAGGGGGCCGGGGGGGCACCGTGGCGTTGCAGGTTTAGCTGCCACTTGAGACACCCACATCCCCTATCAGAGAACTGGTTCAAGGCCTGGCCACGTCCCTTCTGGCCACTTTCTAGCTCCCTGCTAATGCACCAGGAAGGCAGCAGTCCTCGTGTCCCTGCAACCCGCATGGAAAACCCGGATGGAGTTCAGACTCCTGACTTCTGCCAGACCCAGCCCTGGCTACCACAGGTATTTAGGGAGTGACCCAGTAGATGCAAGTCCTCTCTCTCTCGCTTGTTCTCTGTCATTCTACCTTTCAGGTGGATTGAAAAAAATTTTTCTTTTGAAAGAAATCAACAGGTTAAGTCCTTATCCTATCTACTTCACCCCTTCACGACCTAATGCTTTCACTACCACCTCAACGATAACGAATCCTGAGTGCACATTCCCCTCCCAGGAATAGCCCTCTGCTCAACTTGTATGTACATCCCGCTAACTACCCTGTCTCATCGCGGACATCTCCACATTAACACACCCACAGCAGACACACACACAGCCCACCCCTTCCCAGCTGCCCCATCTCATGCAAGCCCAACGCTGTTCTTTCTGCAGCCCAAGTGGAACCTGGCAGTCACCCACTCTTTCTCTTTTACCCAGCCACCCGGGCTATTAGGAAATCCTTGGCAATACAAATGCCTTTAAAATACAAGATTAGTGGGGCTGGCACTGTGGTGCAGCGGGTTAATCCTTTGCCTGTGGCACCAGCAATCCATATGGGCACCAGTTCGAGTCCTGGCTGCTCCTCTTCTGATCCAGCTCTCTGCTATGGCCTGAAAAAGCAGAAGAAGATGGCCCAGGTGCTTGGACCCCTGCACCAGCGTGGGAGATTTAGAGGAAGCTCCTGGCTCCTGGATTCAGATAAGCCCAGCTCCAGCTGTTGCGGCCATTTGGGGAGTGAAACAGTGGATGGAAGATCTCTCTTTCTCTGTCTCTCCCTCTTACTGTCTGTAACAGTACCTCTCAATTAAATAAAATCTTTAAAATAAATAAATAAATAAAATACAAGACTAGCTCAAAAAATTTGTAGAAGAGTGCAATTAAAAGTTTATTTTTGGAGCCAGCATTGTGGCACAGCGGGTTAATGCCCTGGCCTGAAGTGCCAGCATCCTATATGGGCGCCAGTTTGAGACCCAGCTGCTTCACTTCCCATCCAGCTCTCTGCTGTAGCCTGGGAAGGCAATAGAAGATGGCCCAAGTCCTTGGGCCCCTGCACCTGCGTGGGAGGCCCTGAAGAAGTTCCTGGCTCCTGGCTTCGGACTGGCACAACTCTGGCCACTGCGGCCAATTGGGGAGTGAACCAGCAGATGGAAGACCTCTCTCTCTCTCCCTCTCTGCCTCTCCTCTCTGTGTAACTCTGCCTTTCAAATAAATAAATAAATTTTTTTTTAAAAAGTTTATTTTGATGCAAAAAACCCTGACATATACACAGAGAGCGAACTTCAAAATGTTCATGAAAAATGGGGCCTGTGTTATATGCAGCAGGTTAAGCTTCAGCTTGTGACACTGGCATCCCGAATCGGAGCGCCAGCTCAAGTCCCAGCTACTTTACTTCCAATCTAGCTTCCCGCTAATGCACCTGAGTAGGCAGCGAATGGTGGCCCACATGCTTGCAGTTCCTGGCTCCTTGCTTCAGCTTGGCCCAGACCTGGCTGCTGCAGGCGTTTAGAGAGTAAACCAGTGGATGAGGACCTGACACTCTGCTTTTCAAATAAAGATTCTACTTCTCCACAAACTTGCTGAAGCACACTTGTACACCCAGAATCTGTCACTTACCCTCTTCACTGCTGACACCCTTGTCACACCGCGATTCTTTCCCTGCCCTGCACGGGTCACTAACCACACCAACCACACATCTGGTTCTTATTTTCTTTAGTGTCTGACTCCCGAGCTAAGCATGAAGATAGGCAGGGTCATTTCTTTCACTGCTGTGCCCACGGCACCTACAGCGAATCAATGTATCTTCAGAAGAACCGGTCACCTTGTTCATGGTTTCACTTTTCGTACACTCCGTCCCTCCTCCCAACTGGCTTCTCCTGTAAGGGGCCTGCTTTGCACGCCCACGGAGGGAGCAGCCGTGGCGTCTTAGTCTCCTAGGAGGCACACTCCTGTTCTCTCCCAGCAAGAAGCTGCGTCCAGTGATCCTCAGCCAGCTGCCAGACGCACTGACCGTCATGTCTAGAGGCCTGTTACCATAGAAAACACCACAACCACAAGCAAGGTCACACTCGCTGGCTACCAGTGAAGAAGGGTTCTGGGAGCTTCTATCTGAGAACTGCAGTCACCCCTGTGGTGCCTCTTTTCAAATGCAAATTTTTAAACCAATAAAATACCATCATAGACTTTGAAAAATCAGAAAACAGCACCCATGACAATCTTTATACAACTTCTATCATTTCTGTATTTTCCTACCTGCAGCTGAAAACAGTATACTACACAGTTCTATACTTGTTTTCCTTGAATTTTTATTTATTTTTATTTTATTTGAAAGGCAGAGAGACATAGAGACACAGAGAAAGGGATCTTCCATCTACGGATCACTCCCCAGATACTCCTAATAGCCAGGACTGGACCAGGCTGAAGCCAGGAGCCTGGAACTCCATCCAGGCCTCCCACATGGGTGGCAGGGATTTAGGTACTTGAGCCATCATCTACTGCCCCCCAAGGGTATGCATCAGCAGGAAGCTGGATCAGAGGCAGAGTAACTGGAACTCAAACCACACACTCCAATATGGGACATGGGTGTCCAAGGCAGAGTCTGAAATACTGTGATGGCTGGCGCCGCGGCTCACTAGGCTAATCCTCCGCCTTGCGGTGCCGGCACACTGGGTTCTAGTCCCGGTCAGGGCGCTGGATTCTATCCCGGTTGCCCCTCTTCCAGGCCAGCTCTCTGCTGTGGCCTGGGGGTGCAGTGGAGGATGACCCAAGTCCTTGGGCCCTGCACCCCATGGGAGACCAGGAGAAGCACCTGGCTCCTGCCATCGGATCAGCGCGGTGCGCCGGCTGCAGCATGCCAGCCGCGGCGGCCATTGGAGGGTGAACCAACGGCAAAGGAAGACCTTTTTTTTTGTTTTTTTTTTTCACTGTCCACTTTGCCTGTCAAGAAAAAAAAAAAAAAAAAAAAAAAAAAAAAAAAAGAAAGAAAGAAAGAAAGAAAGAGAAATACTGTGCCAACACTGGTCCCTGCATCTTATTTGTCATCATAAAACTGCCTTCATGATGCCACACAGGGCTCCTAATCACACCTAACAGCTGCAGAACAATCTACCAGGGGCTGCGCCACGATTCACTCTCCTAAAGTTACTGTATCTAGTTAGCTGTGGCCTCCTTTAGGCACCTAGCTTTTTCCCTCCTTGCATTAGGACAATGTCCCAGGTGTGAGATGACTGGGCTAACAGAACCTCTACGCCCTTTAACACGAAACACCACACTGCTTTCCCAAAGGACAGTGCTGGGTTTCACCATGATTTGGCCCCACACTCACACAGACATCCAAAGTCCCATATTAATGGTTCTAAGACAGAGGAAACTTAACACAACTCGAGGGCTCAGCAGGTGGCATGGGGGGGTCCTCAGGCCACTGGGGGCATGCCCCTGGAAGGTTATTCTAGAGGTGGGACCCTGCCTCTCCCCACTGTTGGCTCACCAAGGACCCTTCCACCCCCTGCACTCTGCCATTGCCCTCACCAGACACCAGACAAACAGGGCCATTTGATCTTGGAATGGAGCCTACAAAACCATGCGCTCAGTCAGTCCTTTCTCTTTACAAGATAGCTGCCCCGGGCATTCCGCTGCAGCAACAGAGAGCTCACTCATCCAGGCTAGCACTCCGACGGTCTCCCAGGGGCGACCACGAACTCACTCTCTTCACAGCTCCTTCCCCAACACGCTTTAGCTGCCTCACTTCCGTTCGCAGCTCCTCACAGGACAGCCACGGCGAGCAGTTCTTCATCTGGCCCACTCGGAAGTACCCGTAGGGACAGCGGCTGGGGTCCAGCGCGGGGCGCTGAGGGGAAATGAAAAACCGATGGAGGCAGAGGTAGAGGAGCGCGTTCATGAGCGCCAGGCCGAGCAGCAGCCCGACAACCGGGGGTACTTCTCTGTGGCTGGGGCCTTTCCTCTTCTCCAGGGGTCTCTTCTCCATGCTGGCATCCCCTGTAGCGGCCTGAGATGCAAAACGAAGCGAGGAGGAACACACTATCAGTTTTTATCTGCGTTAAAGTGTTCTGATGACGCAGGATTGAAGGTGATCACACACTCTTGTGCCTTTTACATTCAAGGACCCTTCAAGTGCCCATATTATCTAAGGATTAAGGGATTTTTAGGGTTTATACAAAATGTTCGAGGTAACTGCTCCCATAATCTTTTTCTTTTTTTTTGAAATAAACTAAATTTACCTGGAATACCTCAGGTCAGAAGAGAGGTGCTCGTGTCTGACTCTGTCTTACCCACCCCAGTGTGCATTAAGCAGATAGTCATGAATGTTTAGTAAAATTGAAAGTAAAATGGCAGCCTTCCACTCCGCCTCTGGCAGAGGAATAGAAGTGAGATCATTTAAAAAAAAAAAAAAAAGAAGGAAGAAAGTAAAATGGGGGCCAGCACTGTGGTGTAGTGGGTAAAGCTATTGTTTGCAGTGCCCGTATGCCACATGGCTGCTCCACTTCCGATCCAGCTCTCTGCTGTGGCCTGGGAAAGCAGCAGAAGATGGCCCAAGTCCTTGGACCCCTGTACTCATGTGGGAGACCTGGAGGAAGCTCCTGGCTCCAGATCAGCTCAGCTCCAGCCACTGTGGCCATCTGGGGAGTGAACCAGCGGATGGAAGACCTCTCTCTCTCTCTGCCTCTCCTCTGTCTGTGTATCTCTGACTTCCAAATAAATAAATAAATCTTTAAAAACAAAAAGAAAAAATGAAAGTAAAATGTATACAAGAGTACTTCAAATACTTCAAAAAGTTTGTGGAAAATAGAATTCAAAAATGAGTTTAGGGGTGGGCATTCGGCCTAGCAGTGAAGACGCTGCATTCCCCATCAAAATGCTTGTGTTCCATGCACAGCCCTGGCTCCTGATTCTAAATTCCTTCTAACGTGCACCTTGGGAGACAGTGGTGACGGCTCAAGAACCTGGGTTCCTGCCACTCACGTGGGAGACCTGGATTGAATTTCGGGCTCCTGGCTTCAGACCTGGTCCAGAAAGCAGGCAGCAAATGGAAGCACTCTCTCTCTCTCTCTCTTTCTCTCTCTTAAAAAAGAAAGAAAAAAAAAATGAAAAAAGGATGAGTTTATTTTCTTGCAAAAAAAATTCTAAAACCTATGCAAAAACTTCATAGAAATGTGTTTTGAAAAAAATTGTCTGGATTTAAAAAATTTTTGAACCAAAATAAACATTTTTAAATTCCATTTTCCCAAAAACTACGTCGAGTACCCTTCCATTTGTTAGTCCAGGGGTTGGGGCAGAAGGTGGACAAAGGGTAGGAGGTAGGGCTGCAATGCTGAGGACCTCCTAAAACCTAAAACCTAGACATCAGGATGTTCCCTGGAAGACACTCAAAAGCCTTGCATGTTCTTACGAAGCAAAAGGTGCTCTCCAGCAGGGGGAGAGGTGGAGCTGAGGTGGGAGACTGAGAGCGAGGGACTGGTCAGGGGCCCTGGTGATCACCTGGGGTCAGAGACAGACACAGGAGCTACAATGCTGGTGGTGAGATGAGGAAGGGGACTCAGAACTGACCTGATCAGCACAAGGCCCGGGGTGGAGGGGCCTGGATGGCGACAAGCAGTGGGGAGGACCCTGGAAGCCACGAGTGCTTGCCACTCAGAGTGCCTGGGCAGAGGCCATGGGTGAGCCAGAGCGGAAGCCCACTGATACACTAACAACGGACATCCACCAGTGTCAGCTGTACATTGGCACTGGCATGCAGGGGGGCTCCAGCGTCAGAACGGACCCATGCACCTTGTGCCAGAGACGTTGCAAAGGTTACCTTCCAGGAGCGTCTTCCTTCTCCCAGTTCAGGTCTCCATCCAGACACTTGGGTCAGTGAGTGTTCCAGTTGGCCCCACAGACTGGTTTGAAAGAACTCTGCCACAAAGGAGCAAAGAGGAAGTTTGCTAAGTAAAACCCAAGGCTCTAAACATACATACATGGCAGCAGTCCAAATGGTGCACTTTTTCCAAGGGTTCTCCCGGTGCCTGGGGGCCCCTCGGGCTCTCAAGCCCCACGATGGTGCAGCAGCCACAGGGAAGTCTTCCCACAGCTCCAACAGCTTGTCTGGGCTCAGCCCCAGGCTTCCTCATCAGCCTCTCCCTGGTTCCACTCTTCCCCTCTCCCCCTCCACTGCAAATATCTGACACAAATGAAGGTTCAAGTCCTGGCTGCTCAACTTCCCATCCAGCTCTCTGCTGTGGCCTGGGAAAGCAGTAGAAGATGGCCCAAGTCCTTGGGCCCTGCACCCATGTGGAGACCCAGAAGAAGCTCATGGCTTCAGATCAGCCCAACTCCGGCTGTTGCGGCCAATTGGGGAGTGAACCAGCAGATGGAAGACCTCTCTCTCTCTCCTCCCCTCTCTTTAACTCTGTCAAGTAAATACATAAAATCTTCAAAAAAATAAAGAAAGAAAGAACTTAGTAATGACAACGTGGTGCCCCAGCCACTCTGCCAGACCAGAGAGCAGCAGGTGCAGGTCAGCACAGCACCTCCGCCTCCTCTAGTCAGGGAACTTAGTTGAGGTGTTGTTCTTACCCGACAAAGAAAAGCCCACCTGCCTCTCCCTCCTGTCACTGACGCTGCTGAATTGCTTCAAGTCACTTGCTCGGCAGCCGCCACCCTCGTGAACTAACACCATCTGCTCCCCTATGCCTTCATCTCCCAGCCACGCCTTTAGTGGTCAGGACAGCCACTTGCTCACCTTTCTCTTAAAAGATTCCAGCCCCCTACCTTTCTCCATGGCCCACTCCTTCCTTCAGGGAATGGCACTGTGATGACCTTTACCGTGCAGGCCTCAATCTCCTGGGCTTCTTGCACCTGCACCTGCTCGCAGAGAGGGCTCTGCACAAACAGGCCACTGACTGCCATCTCTCCCTCAACATTTAAAGTGGCCAAGCAAGTCAACTGAGACCCCTAGGAAGGGCCGGAGCGTAAACACTGAGGCTTAGAGACAAAAGTCACAATCAACAGAGAACTACATACTATGCGTTGTAGCGCACCCAGAGGCAGTGCAAAGATGAGCGATGTTCCATGCCCGTCACAGCTGTCAACTCCATCCCAGATGATTCGTAAACAAGTGAGGCAGTGTTCCGGTAACAATGTGTTCACGACACTGGAATCTGAACTTCCTACAGTTTTCGTGGGGGTTCTGCCAAACGTTTAAAGAGATCAAAGCACTCTTGGCTTTCAGGTTCCGGGTCAGGGTCAGGTCCGTGCAGTCTCAACTGCACGCAACTTCAGTTTTTGTCTACACACTGTGATCCCTGAGTCTACACTATGGCCCAGCGGGCTCATCAAGGTCTGGCATGTCCACAGCTGAACTCAGTGTCTCCCTTCTGTCCCCAACACCCCCTTCTCTAGGGTTCCCTCTCTGTGATGAGCACACAACCTACCCACTCACCAAGTTGCAAACCAGGGTGATCCCTCCTCTCCTAATCGCTAATTCAACCAATCACCTCAGAGTTAATTCCATCACCCCAATCTCGGGTCAAGTCTGTCCATGTCTCTCCAAGCTGCTGCCTCTGTCCTGGTGTAAGCCACCAGCATCTCTCACCTGGGCTTCTGCAACAGTTTCTCGTGTGGTCTCCCGGGTCCTTGTTCCCAGTCCATTCTCCACACAGCAAACAGGATCTTTTATCTTTAATGAATACTTCAAGGACAAAAAAAAAAAAGTCATAAACATCCATTCAGCTTAGTAAAGTTGCATTGCATCATATTGTTTCAGTGCTTTTTAAATATAAAAAACTTTTAAATAAAAAAGTTTATTTTATTTAAAAGGCAGAGAGAGAGAGAGAGAAAGAAATCCTCCATCTGCTGGTTCACTCCCCAAATGCCTGCAACAGCCAGGGCTGGGCCAGGCTGAAGCCAGGAGCCTAGAGCTCAATCCAGGTCTCCCATGCGTGTTGCAGGGGCCCAGAAACTGAGCCATCCTCTGTTGCCACTCCACCCCCAGGGCACATATTAGCAGGAAGCTGGGTTGGAGCAGAGCAGCTGGAACTCTGATATGAGATCTGAGTGTCCCAAGTGGCAACTTAACCACTGTGGCACATACCCACCTACATATCAAGGCTCTCTCTCTCTCTCTCTTTTTTTTTTTTAAGATTTATTTATTTCAAAGGCAGAGAGACAGAAAGAGGGAGAGACAGAGATAGATCTTCCATCCACTCGTTTACTACACAAATGGCTGCAATGGCTGGAGATGGGCCAGGCCAAAGCCAGGAGCCAGGAGCTTCATCCAGGTCTCCCACATGCATGCAGGGGCCCAAGCACTTGAGCCCTCCTCTACTGCTTTCCCAGACACATTAGCAGGGAGCTGGATCAGAAGCTGGGACTGGAACTGGTGCCCATCCAGGATGCTGGCACTGCAAGTGGAGGCTTAGCCCTCTATGCCACAGCACCGGACCCCAGGGCTTTTTCAAAGACATAAATATTGCATCCGCGTCTGCTGCCTGCCCAGAAGTAATCACCTTCCTCAAGTTACTATTGGGTACCGGTTCTCAAAGCAGGGTCCTGACCCATAACATCAGCAGAGCCCGGGAACTGGGGAAAAAGGCCAACTTGTGGGTTTCCACCCCAGAACTACCAAGCCAGAAACAAAATCTGTTTTAAGAATTAAGTTCTCCAGATGATTTGCCAGTGTGAGAAACTCTGGTGTGAGTAATTTCCACTGTGTTTTTATTTTCGCCACAACCATGCGCCATAGATAACAACACATGTCTTCCAGATCTGTAGAGTGGTGGTGTGCCAGCCCTACCCCTTATACAAGTGGTGGTTTGCAAGTCTTGCCCTTTATACCTGATGGGGCCCTGGTCTGTCTCCATGTTGATACACCTGGAGCTAGCTCAGGACTGTCACCTGCTGACTACACCCGTCCGTAAACTTCTGTGCAGCTGTCCCCCCTCACATGCGGAAGAGCTTCCCAGGGTGATTGTTCTAAAGCACGCTTGGTCTCTCTCAGATTAAAAATATCCAACGGCCCCTGCTCGGCCCTTAGGCTCAAGCCCAAACTCTCCCGAGGCCCTGAGATCTAGCCTGCCTGTCTCTCCAGAGGCCCCAGGCCTGCACCCCACACGCCAGCACATGTGTTCCTTCTTTGTCTGCCTCACCAGGTCCGGGTGGACGACCCACCTGTCCCACTCACCTCAGTACTCTGGGTGCTTGGCCTACGACAGGTTCGGGGGGAAGAAAGAGCGGCCCGTCACCTGGAACACCACCCTCCCAGTCTCGTCCTGGGGCGTCGCCTCCCCTCCCGCATTCTCCCTTCTCTTCAACCTGTCCTCCTCCTTCCCCACCTCTGCGCACAGCCCAAGCCCACGGTTAACCCTCTCAGCCCTCACACTCCTGCTCCCGACTCTGATCTAACCCCAGGGTTTACAGGACCTGAGCCCTCTACGATTTGAGGGGTAAGGGATACTCTTTAAGGAAACACAATTAGGAATGTAAAATTGCTGGGCCCTTTGCCAGGGTTTGGAAGGGATTTGTGCGAGGGAAAAGTAGAGAACTTCCTCCTAACCCCACACCTGCTAGCCACAGTCTAGTCCCACAGAGCTCCCCCTGCACACTTCATTTCCATCCAAAGGCTGCCAACATCAGTGATGAAATTCTGCAGGACTCCAGGGCCAGCGCTGTGGCGTACTTGGTAAAGCCGCCATCTGCAAGGCCAGTGACTCATATGGTTCAAGTCCCAGTTGCTCCACTTCCAATCAAGCTCCCTGCTAACGTGTCTGGGAAAGCGGCTAAAGAGCCGCTGCCTGTAGTGCTGGCATCCCATATGGGCACCGGTGCTAGTCCCAGCTGCTCCACTTCCAATCCCCCTCTCTGCTATGGCCTGGGAAAGCAGTAGAAGATGGCCCATATCTTTGGGCTCCTGCACCCCGTGGGAGACCTGGCAGAAACTCCTGGCTCCTGGCTTCAGATCAGCACAGCTCTGGCCATTGCAGCCATCTGGGGAGTGAACCAGTGGATGGAAGACCTATCTCTCTCTCTCTCTCTTTCTCTCTCTGTGTAACTCTGACTTTCAAAAAAAAAAAAAATACCTGGGGCAAGTGTTGCGGCATAATAGATTAAGCCACACGTGCAGCATTTCAGCCCTGGCTGTTCCACTTATGATCCAGCTCCCTGCTAACCACACCTGGGGAAGCACCAGAAGATGGCCCAAGTTTTGGGGCCTCTGCACCTACAGGGGAGACTTGGAAGAAGCTCAAGGCGCCTGGCTTTAGCCTATTCCAGACCCAGCCGTTTTTGGCTGTCTGAGGAGTGAACCAGAGAATGGAAGACTCTCTCTCTCTCTCTCTCTCTCTATATATATATATATGTATATATCTCCCTGTCTCTTGCTGTGACTCTGTCTTTCAAAATAAACAATATAAATGTTTAAAAAGAAAAAGACACCTGCACCCTCACTGCAGCACAAGTCATTAACAGATGAATGGGTAAAGAAAATGGGGGTTAAACACAATGTGGAATATTATCCCGCCAGAAGACAGATGGAACTGGGGGTCGTTATATTAAGTAAAATAAGCAGACACGGAAAGACAAACACCGCATGTCCTCTACATGGAAGCTTAAAGAAAAAAAAAAAAGATTGTATATCTTCAACCCAAATTTTAAACAGTGAGTCACAGAGGCGGGGTGGGGGTGGGAGGAGTTGGACAGCCGGCACCAAAACAGCAGGATGCACCTAAGAGTGGGCAACCGCAGCATAATATCCTGTGTGACCGGAGAGGGGCTGGGCGGCTCCAAACACAAAGACAGGGAAAGGGACACTGCCCGGTGCCTGGGCTCATGCCGCGTCTGTGTGTTGACAAGCTGCACGGCACCCGTTAAAAACGTGCAATACATTTAAAATAATCTAATAACAATAACGAATAATCACAGTTTAAAATAATTTTTAAAAAGCAACGGCACAAAATTAGTTTTTGCAGTATTTTACACTTAAGAAAGAGATTAGTGTTACCCAATGCGTAAGAACAGAATCCCACTTTGCCCATGCAGTCCAAGGAAAATTAATTATCTTAAGGATTTCTGGACACTTACCTGGCTCGGAGTCCCGGAGGTGCCGGAGGCGGACGAAGGGAACCACATTAACAAGTAGAGGGCTTTCGACGAGAGCAGCAGCAGCGGCAGCGATGGCGGCGGCGCGGGCAGCGCCCGGGAGGAAGGCGCCCTTGCCCGCGCCCGGCGGGGCCCGCGGCCTCGCGTTCACAGCGGCGAGCCGGGCCCACGCCTCAGCCCGGCCGCCCGCGTCCCCGCCTCCGTCGGACACGAGGCGGGCGCCCGAGCCGGGGCCGCCGCGCGCTCCCCCGAGAGCCCCGCGCCCGCGCGCCCGCTCGCGGCCTCCTGCGCCGGCGCGCGGCCGGGGACGAGCGCGGGGCGGGGCCCCGCGGAGAAAGCCGGCTCGCGGGCACGGGCGCCGTGAGCCCAGGCGGTGCCGGCGCAGGCGCGCTGGGGAGTGTTCTCGGCGCTTTGCTGGCGGGGGGAACCGGCGGTGTGGAGGAACCTGTGGGGCTGCGGCCCAGAGCCACGAGGAGGAGTAGGGCCGGCCAAGGGGCGCCAGGGGCCGGGGGCCGCCTCACGCCTGACAGAAAATGGCGACGCACAGTGCCAGTTTTCTGCGCGCTCTGATGTTGCGTGTGATCTGGAATGATCTGTACCCAGAAGGTCCCGTTTCCAGGAACTTAACCCTGTGGAAATAATGTCACCGTGACGTGGGCAGGCATACAGGATAAAATTGATCTGGTTTGTGAGCTGGAAGACCACGCCTTCGCCACGCCCCTGTGTGACCACACGCCCCTACCTGGCTACACCTGTGTGCCCCACCGGGCAATCAGGTTAATGAACTATTCCCCTTTGGAAGTGGATTAAAAGCCTGGGCCCACTCTTTGGCCTTTTGCCATTGTGGACCCGTGCTGCCCTGTGTCTCCTGGGCACTTGGCCTTTGAGCCACCTGCCCCATGCTTCCTGGTCTGCATGCTCCTCCAGGCTGGCTCCTGGTACTCAGTATGAATCCAGATTTCTCTTTTAGATAGGGTCCTCACTCTCCTATGCATTGCTCCCACTGGATAAAAGCTTAAAAACCAACATGCTGCCTCGTTCGCTTATGCCAGTATTCAGAATTCTTTGAATATTAGGCAAGAACCCACACAGGCGTATTAATGCTGGGAATTTATTAATAAGCACGCAGTGATATTGCATGACACCCCCTATTCCGATATCAGCTGGAGAAAAGAGCCATGGAAGCTGTGGGGTTCTTCATGCAAGGAAGAACTCAGGCGTGAGACAGAGTGAAGTGATACGGTTTTATTGGGGATAGGGCATCCGTCAGAATGGAAGGGATAGAGCAAGCGCCCAGTCACTCGGACTGGGGTACAGCGAGGTTACACAGTTGGGTGGAGAACACACCTGGACAGGCCACTGGGCAGCTCAGCAGAGAGCAGAGGGCTGAGCACGCCGTCCTTGTTCAGAGTCCCAGCATGTATGTTATTATTTATTTATTTTTTAAAGATTTATTTATTTGAAAGTGTTACACCAAGAGGTTTTCCATCCGCTGGTTCACTCCCCAATTGGCCGCAACGGCCAGAGCTGCCCCAATCCAAAGCCAGGAGCCAGGAGCTTCTTCCAGGTCTCCCATGCGGGCGCAGGGGCCCAAGGACTTGGGCCATCTTCCACTGCTTTTTTCCGGCCATAGCAGAGAGCTGGATAAGAAGTGGAGCAGCCAGGACTTGAACCAACGCCCATTTGGGATGCTGGCACTGCAGGCAGTGGCTTTACTCACTACACCACAGCACTGGCCCTAGACTCCCGGTTTTTAAGGGAGTCTCTTTATCCTTTCCCCTCTCCTCCAGGACAAACGATAGGGAGCCCTGGCTGAAGAGTTTGCTGGGTGAAAATACAAAAAATTCCTTTCCAAATTTACCACTGAGGTGGTCAGACAGGGGAAGCCCTTGCTGGCCAAGGGGCTTCTCTCTAGGGTGCCCACCTTAGAGGAAAGATGTTTAGCAAGCCTGGTAGAAGGACGGAAACCGCTTGGAAAGTTACTAGGGTCTCAGCAGGACTGCCCTAGATATCAGTTTCCCTGGGCCTTTCTCCTGGTGTAATGAGAAGGCCATGCCAAGATGGCCGCTGGCAAGCAAGTGTCAGTTACTCAGGAATGGCTTCAGAACCCACCTGGCAACAGGCTGTGATTGGTTAGGGCATAAACCACCCCTTGACTGGATTGGCTACCTCGGCTATATAAGCAGCTGAAATAAATGAGTCTGCAGGCTGCTCCCCCTGGCCTGCTTTCACCGGACTCCCAGGGTCTGTGTGCTGACTCCCTGCCTCTTGCCCCCACCACGCTCCTCCTCTCAGAACAAATCCACAGCAACAGTTTCTTACACACACAAGCTAATTTCTAACTTCATAACAATAACAGGTGTACAAGAGCTCTCCCAGAAACCCTATGGCTACAGAGGAAAACAAAACCTGAAACATTTTATAACCTTCACACATTCACCAGCAATGGTGAGGCTGCAGGCAGTGCACATTTGACACACTGTTAAGGGCGCCCACATCCTGTATCTGAGTGCCTGGGTTGGGGGTCTCGGCTCTTTCCAATCCAGATTCCTGCTGATGCAGCACCCTGGGAGTGCTTGGAAGGCTGGGATGCAGTTCAGGGCTCCTAACTGCAACCTGGCCTAGTCCACAATCGTGGACATTTGGGCAATGAATGAGCAGATGGCAAATCTCTGTCTCTACCCTAGTAATAAAGCACGAATTAAAAAAAAAAAAAATCCCAGGGGATGCTAGGCCTCATTGCGATCCACCACCTGACCCACATTCTGGTTCAGGAGCGCGGAGAACTGAGACATCAGCTCAGTGGAGGGAGGTGTCTGCTAACACTGCGACTTTCTGGAACAAAGCTCTCTTTACACTACAGTCCAAACGGTTGTCTCAGCCCCAGATGCCATTGTTTTCTCAAGGGCTTCCCTCTGGGGGAGGGTGGATGTGAAGGTGCCAGCCTGCCACCTCCTGGTTGCTTGCTAGCATCTTAAAGCTTTCCTCCTTTCTTTCCCCCAACTCTTCTCCGCTTTGAGTACCGATTTCAGGTTCAGTAACAGCCCCAGTACTTACAAATATACAGAGTATTGGGGCACTGCAGTAGGCGGCTTTACCTGCTATGCCACAGCGCTGGCAACCCATATGGACACCAGTTCAAGTCCCGGCTGCTACACTTCCAATCCAGCTCTCTGCTATGGCCTGGAAAAGCAGTAGAGAATTGCCCAACTCCTCGGGCCCCTGCACCCATGTGGGAGACCTGGAAGAAGCTCCTGGCTCCTGCCTTCGGATCAGCACAGCTCCGGCCTTTGCAGCCAATTGGGGAGTGAACCAGTGGATGGAAGACCTCTTTCTCCACCTCTCCTTCTCTATGTAACTCCGACTTTCAAATAAAATAAATAATTCTAAAAAAATTAAGTTAAAAAAACAAATATACAGAGTATAGGTCGCAAAGGAATCTTTGGATTTCTGCATTTGCATTACTTAGCGAGGGGTGGGGAAGGAAGTGATGAGATGACTGGGTACAATCATTACACATCTGGCAAAAGAACTGCCAAAGCAGTACTTGGAACTCACCCAAAAGACACAAACACTGCCAAAAACTTGAGAATGAAGAACTAAAATGGACCATCAAAAGCCACAGCACCAGGAATGCATTTTGGATGCAAGAAATAAACTGTAGAAGACCAGGAAAAACTGAAAACAGAGATTTCATATGCCCATTTTAAGGCACAACATGATAATTACAATGAAGATTTAATCAGAGACTTGCAAAACAGATGGTTGACTCTCAAAAGAACTTGGAACTTCCAAATGGGTAAGAAAAATGCAGTAGGAAAGGCCTGGGAGCTTTATGAAAAACTGTGACACCCTGTGAAGATGATAAATTTTGTTACATTAGCCTCTAGAAAATTTAAAGTTTTGCTCATAAAAATGCATTATGATCAATGCATTATGATCTTTTGAAATGTTGTTGAGTAATAACATTATCAAAATACTTGACATTTCAGAAATAAAGTCTGTATTCCAACTCTGAAGAGAAATATAGCATGGTAAGTATCATATTTACATATTGAGAACACTGGTGACTGTTTATCAATAAAAGAATTTATTGGTTACTTTCAAAATGAGATTTTTACCTTGTTAACAGAAAACAAAGAAGCTGTGAAAGCCAACAAAGCCGACTTAGGGACAGGAAGGGCTGCTTCCTTAGAAGATGGAGCGAGCATGTGCAAACCTTTCCCTCCCATCAACAGTTATAAAACTTGGAGTCTTTCAAAGTGAGTATCACCAGACAAATAAAAGAACAAAAATCTGAAGCAACTCCATTCAGCTCAAAACCAGGAAGTGAGCACTGGGGGCCACAGAGAAGAGACACTCAGAGAAACCTTCCAGTTCTGGCTCGTAGGACAGAAAAGGGAATTCATAAAACCCAAAGGAAGGAAAATTCCATTTTTCCTCTTTCTTCATTTCTTGGCAAAGCAGTGCCCAGTCAAGCCTGTATCAGGGAATAAGGTAGATCTTGAATCAATCATCTAAGTTTCCATCTTTAAAAATGATCAAAGTAAACCAAATCAAGTAGAAGGGAGGAATAATAAAGTAGAAGGAAGTAGAATCAATTCAACTAAAATTCCTTCTGTCACATTTCACTTAGAAAAACTAGTAGAGACTCATTTGATGCATTTGTTTGGAGAAATATATGTATATGTATATGTGTATGTGTATGTGTATGTATATGCGTGTGTATATATATATATTTGAAAGGCAGAGTTATAGAGAGAGAGGGATAGAGAGAAATATTCCATCTACTGGTTCACTCCACAAATAGACACAGATTGAAGCCAGGAGCTTCTTCTGGGTCTCCCACATGGGTGCAGGAACCCAAGGACTTGGATCATCTTCCACTGCTTTTCCAGGTGCATTAGCAGGGAGCTGGATTGGGACACACGGGAGGCACATATTCCCTCTTTTTTGTTCTCCAATAACATTTCTTTAAATGGCTAGTGTAGTAGTTTTCAAGGTACCAAGGTGAATACACATTGTTGGGTCTCTTTCAAAACTGAGGTCCCTCAAAATAAAGAGGGTTGTCTTACTCCTTCTTCAACTCTAGCTTTCTTTTAACACAGGTAGCACTGACTGATAATATTTAAATTTTAAATTTTTATTAATAAATAAACCCATTACATGTTAACAAAAATAATCTTTTATGAAAATCACATTTAAAAAATAGAAAATGGCATTGTTTT